GGAGCTGATCGCTGAGTCCGTCCTCTCCTCCTTCAGATCAGAAGGTGAGTCTGAGTGTCTGCAGCTCGGTGTGTCTGCAGCTCTGTGTGCCTGCGGCTCTGTGTGCCTGCAGCTCGGTGTGCCTGCGGCTCTGTGTGCCTGCGGCTCTGTGTGCCTGCGGCTCTGTGTGCCCGCAGCTCGGTGTGTCTGCGGCTCTGTGTGCCTGCAGCTCTGTGTGCCTGCAGCTCTGTGTGTCTGCAGCTCTGTGTGCCTGCAGCTCTGTGTGCCTGCAGCTCGGTGTGTCTGCAGCTCGGTGTGTCTGCAGCTCTGTGTGCCTGCAGCTCGGTGTGTGTGCGGCTCGGTGTGCCTGCGGCTCGGTGTGTCTGCAGCTCTGTGTGTCTGCAGCTCGGTGTGTCTGCAGCTCGGTGTGTCTGCAGCTCGGTGTGTCTGCAGCTCGGTGTGTGTGCAGCTCGGTGTGTCTGCAGCTCGGTGTGTCTGCAGCTCGGTGTGTCTGCAGCTCTGTGTGTGTGCAGCTCGGTGTTTCTGCAGCTCGGTTTGTCTGCAGCTCGGTGTGTCTGCAGCTCGGTGTGTCTGCAGCTCGGTGTATCTGCAGCTGGAGGACAGGTTTAATATGGAAGTGATAATGTTCTTTATTTATTCTCTCACAGGATTTAATTTCTCCTCGTCTGGCAGAGAGGATGTGGACGTCCGGACTCTGGGAACCGGTGAGACTCGCTGTTTCATTTGACTTTTATCACTTTATAACCAATAATGGACAATATATAAAGATAGATAGAGAAGAAGATATTATTGATTTAAGAAAACAGTCTAAAAACACTGAATTATAAGTCCTGAATTAAAAAGTACTTATTTAGCAGAATGGCTTATTTCCTCGTGTTGCGAGGAGCTTTTTACCACTGCATACAAATTAAGTGTTTTTACATTTTTCTCTGATTGTCAGGTCGTCCGTTTGCGATGGAGCTGCTGAATCCTCACAGATCCAAACTGAGCCGAGCGGAGATGAAGCTGCTGCAGGAGGTCATCTTCATCTTCATCACCTCACAAACTACAGATGAAACACTTCCCTTATATCTCCTCTGATGCTCATTAGGAGGAGTTAACACTTTGTTTCCAAGCTTAATATCTGAACAACTTCAGCCAGAATTTGATTACTTTTGATTTGCTTGAAGTCGTTAAGATCTAAAGAAGGTAGATAGATGTTGAGATATGTCCTCAAATGTTATATTCGACCTAACCTTGTTTTTGTTTTGTGTTTTTTTTTTTTTAGACAATCAACAATTCTTCAGACAAAATCAAAGTGAGAGACCTGCAGATTGTGTCCAGGTGAGAAAATATGAAACTGTAAAATCTCACCTTTATTTATCGTCTTGTTCATAACAATAATACATCATCTACAAATACATGTGATATCATCGCTCCCTCCTCACCCTTTGTGACAAGTCAATACATCCAATGTTTGTCTTTGTAGAATAACAAATAATAATAAAAAATAAGTAAAAGAGTCCTCAGCACAGATAACGACTTTTAAAACCAGTAAAATCCACCTCACAGTGCTTTGGATTCTGTTGCTTCCACCTCACCCTTACTTTTTAAGACTTAAAGTGGACCTATCATGCTATATTTGAATAATATAGTGTAGGACCATACCTATATAAGGCATATTTATACTTTTTATTTTTCAAAATACCAAACAGATCATGCATTTTAGCCATTCCTAATTTCACTCAATTTAACACTGTCTTTGCATCATGGGCTGATTCTGTGAGAACAGCACCATCTACAGGCCTGGCATATGTACTGCAGCGTCTCCAGCGCTTTCCAACGGCAATGTCCGTGGCTGTCTCCTCCTGATTGGTGGAGTTGGCCCAATAGCCGTAGCGCCACTTCTGTGACGTCATAGAAGTGTTCAAATCTGGATCAGTCTGTATCAGATCCGTTGCAGCCCCTTTTTTAGAGATGTGGGTATGGAGGAAAATAGAGAGGGTTGTGTTTTCTGACACTTGGTGAGTTCCCTGGAACACCGGGGACACATGTTCATGTATAAAAGACGTACAAAAGTGCATTTTGCATGATAGGTCACCTTTAAGTTGAAAACACTAAACATCCCAAACTTAAGTACATTTTTCAGTTTAACAATAACTGAAAAGCAGGTGACTTCCAGTTCCTGAGAATGTTTAACCCGACTTTCATTTTCCTTCCTGTGTCCGCTGCACGTGCATGGTTAAACATTTAGCCTCAGTTAATGAATGATTATATATAATATATTAATGTAAAGCA